TCGCTGGGAACTCTTCACTGGGCATAGTTTCCGGGACCATCTCTTCAGTTGGCATAGTCGCTGGGAATTCTTCACTGGGCATAGTCTCCGGGATAGTTGGTGGAATGACCTTTTCGCTCAGGTTCTCCGGTGGAGTTTCATCAGCCTCAGCGACAAAAGGCGAGAGAACAGAACGCTTTCCAGGGTGACTGTCGATACAGTATCACACAGGTCATGGGAAAGAGCCCCACAAATCTTGACTATTGGTGAAGCAAGAAACAAAATCATGCTCAGGGCATGTTCCATCATATGTCCTTCCATACCTGCCTCCCTTAGCCGATTTCTTTGCAGATGCAGGCTTCCTCAAAGGACCGTTTGCTGGCCTTTTGCGCACAACGTCTTCGGGTTCATGTGCGTCCTTGTTGTCACCATCATCTTCATCATCATCACCATCAGGTAGGGAAGCGTGCTCATTGGAGGGGCACTCTTCATCTTGTTTTTTGCCCTTGCCCTTGGCCTTTGGTTTTGCACCAGCTTTCCCTTTGGGATTAGCAGTCTGTGGCTTGGCAGCTGCTTCCGAAGACGTGTCTTCTGGAGAGTACCTCCCAAGACCAGAACTCTTAGCTGCAGGTGTAGCTGGAGCTTTCGCAGAAGCTTTGGCAGCAGCTCCTTTATGGGACCATGCTCACAAAAAAAAAACCTTACTATTCAGATCTGCTCAGTGTCAGTTCTGGGCGAAAGGCTGTTCATTTGGTTTTGGAACCGGTTCAATCTTGAAGTATGAAGGAGAAGTTGGGAACTTCCAAGGGGAAGAATAATAATATTTCTCTTATTTAAGACAAGATAGACACCCCTGCAGCATATATGTGTGGTTTCTTTCCAGCCCCTTCAGTCCAAAAAATAACTCCCTCCGCATGCTGTCCTGTTCTCGGCGGAAGGTGCGATTTGGGGACTGCCGGTGATGAAGCTGGCGGTGAAGGGTTCGAGGACATCAGTTGAGCCAAATCGAAGTCCTCGGTGTTGCCATGTGGATCTAAATTCATTGTTGAACTAAGCCTTTAAGCTAGGTCAACATGTCAACGCACTGACACTAAGTTACAGAAGAGGTGCAGGGCGAACAAATAATTGTGATGAGACCACTTGAACATCTTCATCATCAGAAGCTTCACAGGCACCGCCAAACATTTGCTGGCACTGCAAACTGTGAACTAGCCTGAGAAATCTAAGTGCCCCAGAACAGCCAAAATCACTGCGAACAGGTTCAAGCTTAGCAGAGTGTTTGGTTGATTGAAATAGCTGAACTCGGAGGATGCATCCAGCAAATCTATGGCATGACTGCGGCAATGCTTCAAACTGTTGGTCCAAACAGTCTTTCTCGCTCAAACTCTTTCTCGTTCAGTTTGTTGCTGCAAATTGGTGGCAGCATGTTGTTTCAAAAGGAGAGCAGCAGAAACAGCTTTTCGCAACCCACCATCAGTGTGAAAACACAGGCTTGTCTCAAAAGTTCCTGGAACTTGTGCAAAAGAGAACTGAAGGAGCTTGATCAGCTGTGTTCTGCTTTTGGTTTGCCAGATCTTGGTGAGGCGCGATATGCAGTAAGGAGAAATGGCTTGATTTGGTGGGCAGTGGCAGAATGTCACATCGAAACAAGTTGTTGGATGTGCTCTGACCAGTTCACAGTATATATATATACAAGAACCAGCACAACACTATGTATATAGATTGTATTATACAGAGTGCACGCCCATCACTGCTGCGACAAAATCCTAGCGTTTCAAGCCAGGCGGAACACCTTGTCACCCTCTGGCAGATCAAGGGATCCACCAAGGACAGCGATCGGCCGGATTGGGACCACTGTCTTCACACCCGCGGTGTTGTTGGAATCGATCCTGTGCAATCCATGAATTCATGAATGAAGCGATTTGGATACTGTTCGCAAAATGTGCAGACTCAGTACAGATCTTGAATTTGGGAACCGGAACACATCATCAACAGTACTGTAAGTGATAGATCTACGTTGCATAACTCCCTGATCATGACGTTTGGTCCTGCATCTCCATCCCACTTCCAGCTTCCCTGACGCTTTCAATGCGCCAACATCGATGAACGCTCCAAAATTCTTCATAGTGTAGGCCTGGGCTCAAGAGGGGTGGGGTGGACCGGGAAGGGGCCTAACAAAAATCTCCACTCCAAAACATTAACGTCCGCTGCTGGAGTAATAGAAGCCCAGGAGCGGGAGATGGTTTTGCAGCTTTTGCTTTCTTTTTGGGAGCGGGACGGGCTTCAGGATCTTCCTTCACTACTGGGTCCTTCTTCTCATCCATGACGAAACAAAGCTTTTTGTGGCTTTCTATTCCATTCTGCCCTGTCTGGTGGTGAGAAATGTCGATCTTCACCCTGAGGGAATGACTAATCATGAGCCTCAAAACCACCTTAAGGCTGATCTATATTAGTTACAGTCACAGTTGTTCTTTGCATTTCTTTGTAGCAACAGGTTTTGGTTATATAACTTGTTTAGGTGACACCCTAGCCTCACCAGCGTCTTCCAATGCTAGAATCACCTCCCCAAGGGGCGTAGGGGTGTCCAGGCAGCTCAATCCATGTAGGTGCTCGGGAGAGGCTTTTTTCTCCACAATGACGATAGTCGATGCCACCATCTCGCAAGCGAAGAAACGGCCTTCGGGGTCGCTGCAGACTTCTTGGGCTTCCTTAGGACATGGCGTCACAGATCACCAAGAGCCATGGACTATATGGAATCTACTTTGCAGAGGCTGGGCACGTTTGGGGACAACCAAATACTGCAATGAAAACAAAAAAGACAACTGTACTCCTGCAAAAACTGGAAGCTGGCCCATCGCGCCACTCCCCGGCTCCAAACGAGAACCTTGACAGCTGTTGCATGTAGAAGGTTGGTGGAAGAGGAGCAACAAACAACAAACCAATTCTGAATTGTATATGCACCTTCTTTTGTGTGTATTTGTCAACTATTCTAGTACAATATAAAGTCAAAGATAATCAACGTGTGTATATGATATTTGATATCTATGCATAGTGGGATGTAAGTAGCTGGCTCTTAGTCTGAGAAGTCTTTGTGCGGGTCAGCGGCATCTCTTTGTGCATGATGAACTGGTTTGCACATGTGGAGACTAGATACAAAGTAGACCCATCTTCAGTCGCAATCAACTCCACGGCATTGTTCACTTGCAACTTTCGCCTTGAACAACATAGTGTCCAAAAGCACACATCACTGACAGCAAAATGATAAAAGAAGCAGCATGACAGGGTACATCAAAAGACATGTCTGCCAACTCTCCCCCCCCAAAGAACCTCTCAATGCGCACTTAATTAAGTGGATGACGAGTTCTCCAGTTTCATCACATCCTCCTTCTTGGTATCTTCTGCAATGTCCAATTTGATACGCTTGTGTGATTGCGGTGTAGGCCCTTCACTCCTGACCAGTTTCAATGTGTTGCAGCCACCACAGTCCCACCCATTGAATGACTGTTTGAATTAAACCTCATGTCCCATGGATCATCATGGATCAAACCTCTAGGCATGACAGTAACGCCTAAATTTAAACAATGTCCATGCCTTGTCCCTGCAACAAAGTCCCCATTTGGGTTGAAGACAGCATTGTGCTCTGTGATCTTGCGCATGACATCATCTTTGGTCAGGTCCGACTCCATGAATTTGGTAGCAAAACTCTCCAGGACCTGAAGTGCTGTTCCTTGTTGTCGGCACACTTGGAAAGATCCGGTTGCCTCCTGGACCTCCCCATTGCGAAGTGCACTGATGGGAGCAGAGAAGTCAGGGAAATTAGGAATCGACATTTTCTTGGCGCGGCAATTCTCATATAGTTTGTTTGACAACCTTGTAGCAAGGGATTGCGGTGACTGATCCAGGGCGATGGAGCACGACACCATAGCTTTTCCATCTTGTATCTCCTGACACACCAATCTTTATTCGAGCCACCTATGAGTTTATACATGTGTCCAAAGCATCGACCTGTCCAAGTTCAATTTGTTTGCAACAATGCGGGAAACAAACACATAGGAACATAGGTCTCCTCCATCACAGACAATGCCGGGAAAGCATCGTATGTAGCAACATCAATGACGACAGTTCCTGCCACTGTGGGAAGCTCCAAAGCAGCAAGTGTCTTCCTTATCAAGTCACACCCGGCTCCCACCTTGGCAGGGAACAAGAATCTTACATTCTGCAAACACAAACTCTGCCAACACAAACTTGGCCATCTCACCCACCGGTTTGCGAAGAATATGCTGAAAAGTCTCTCGACTCTAAAATCATTGTCCTTGCCAAGTCACTTGTTTCATCTCTTGAATGTCGGTCATAGCTCTCCCCAAATGGGGCAGACTTGAGCCACCACCCCTGGGACTGGCCTTGGGTGAGCCATGAGCAGATATGAGCAGAGAAAGGGAAGCGCAAGCTGACTGAAAACTCTGACGGAACTGTTTGAGCATCGATATAAAAATACAGTAATACTATCATCAATGTCGGCAGTTGTCTAATTTGCTGAGTTGCTTCTGGCTTGAAGAAATCCTGCCTGCCCAACATTTTTACTTCGTGGACACAGCCACTTTTCATCAACCTGCTGTTCTTGAAGATGTTGTGAATATCTTTTGATGTGCACGCCCATCCCGGCAACGTCCCATCTCGAGCACCATATACTGTGGCCTCAACATGCACCCATGGAGCCTGAAACAAAAACGCAATATTGTAAGTGATTCCCCACCCTGTCACAGAGGTTGGACGTATTTGGCGACAAGTCACTTGGTCAAAGATCCAAGTCAATCCTCTCACTTTGAGCCCCCTATCCTTCATGGACAGCTGCTTCCTGATGCACTGGACTGTGCAAACCAACTGACACGTGGCAAATCAGAACAGAAATCACGAACATCGCAGTGGCACTATCATAACACATGCATGTTTATGACGAAGATTCTCAAAACGGTAGCGGACATCACAGATTTCTGCTTCTTCACCATCATCCATTGTCGCACCACCTTCATCCTCTTGCTTTTCTGCGATCTCATCCTTCGAATCATCTGCTGCATCTTTTGACCTGCAGACGGTAACAGTCAATGAGCGCTTTGGTTCTAGGACACAATAACAACAGGTGTACCTTCTCACTGCATGTCAACAAACACATACTGTACAAATGCACTGTTCAATGACATCGCTGGTTGTTCTCAAAAAACTACCAAAAACACAGCACACTGCCTCGGCTTGGCTTTCTGACCGGCACGGTTGGGCTGCATTATAATTGCAATGGAGTTCCTTCTAAAGCGGTTGAGTGTGTTGGCCACAAAGGACAAAAAGAAGTCCCACTGTGTAGCTGAGATCACTCCACAAGCCGGCAAGTTCAAGAACAGAACCACTGCTCGGGAGTCATCGCTGGAGCATCCAGGCATGTCCTCAAAGACCTTGTCGACCCAAGTCAGAACTTGAGGCATCACTGTTGAATCGCCATCCATACTCCGGCCACAAAAAACCTGCAAGTTGGATTCCATGTAGGCTTGGATGCACCGCCATGCACGATCATGGCAGTCCTACAGGATCAAATGATTTAAATGTATTCTGTGTGTCAGGCATAAACTGAATCTCAGCAAATGGTAGAGAGAAAACAATATGACTGTCCTCAAGCTGCTTGATCAGCTTCGACCGGTTCTTGGCCGTTTCGCGCTCTGACCTTGGAGCCATTGCGCAACTTGACTTATATAACATCCTTCGAAACTGACACCACAAACAAATTAAACTACTTTGAGTATATTGAATTGGAAGTGCTTAGTATTGAACATCGAACTGGCTAAAGAAGACACTTGCAACATCTTGCAATGGGTGTTTGGGGTTTAAAATTAACTCTTCCATGCGAGAAGCGCAATCAGGGCCGCTTGGAATTTGGCCTGGTCCCCAGCCAACTGCTCCTCCCATGCACCGTATGCCGCCTTCAAGCTCTTCTCCAGGGCATTGCGGGTTTTGTCTTGCGACTCTTGGACAAAGTCAGCCACAGCAGCCCCGCGGCACTGAAGTCAGGGACAGAAAGTTCCAAATGTCCATACTGCAAATCAATGTCACGTAATACAACTGCAACCTACTTATATGCATCAGTACACTGCCAACGAAAGCAACACAATGAGATGCAAAGTCTGCTGAAGCAACTCACTCTGGGTGATATGAATCTCTAAGTTGTCCTAGATTTGCCTTTCCCTAGGCTTATGAAAGGAAAGCCAGATCAGTGAGAGTAATTTGGAAAAATCAATTTTAGGAACGCCAGTTCAGTGAGAGTAGATAGATGATAAAGATCAATGTCCAGAAAGATTCCCTACAGAACAACATTGATGGGATGATCGTTTTCGCAACTCGACACTCAATGTTTTACAAATAAATCCTTGCCTCAAGGACAAAGTTTATCCGTTGCCATTCAAAGGGCTCAGCAGCCTTCATGATCGTCCCCAGATCTGCATCCAAACCCCTCAGTCCGCAGTTGTGTTTATTGTACACAGTACCGCAACAAATAACTACACACACACACAAAAAACAACAACATCACAATAAACATATCTATAAAAAACAAAAAAAGACGTTGTCAGGTTTTGGCGGGTTTGGCCGACTGAATCAATCACATTCCTGTGCACATTTCCAGCCTGAAAAGTTGATTGGTTTTCCCAGGAACCAATCACAATTTGCTATGTTTTGGTATGATCAATCACGTCCCCGAGTGCAATCCCAACAATTTGATTGCGATTCCCAACCCCAAAAGCATAGGTTTTGTGACGGGTTTTTCGAGGAACCAATCACATTTCCAAGCTGTCCCATCCCGGCTGAATGTGATTGATTTTCCTTCAGATTTCAAGTTTCCCCACCCATGAAGGCTTGTCTGGAATTGGCCCGATTGTGACGGGGTTTCTGGAAAACCAATCACGATTTTGCCAGCCAAATGGATTTGGCGACCAATCACCCCCAGCCAAATGGATTTGGCGACCAATCACCCCCAGCCAAGTGGGTTTGGCGACCAATCACCCCCAGCCAAATCGGTTTGGCGACCAATCACTCCAAGCCAAATGGGTTTGGCGACCAAGTTGATTTCACGATCTGATTTGCTGGCAAGCTACCCCTTGTAAAACAAATCAGTGTACTTGTCCACCATGTTGGACGGAAAGGCCCCTTCAAGTTCAGCACGAAGCCAAACCCACAGGCAGCAAATGTCGTGCAGGTGGATGTGTTCATCTTCGCTCAATTGCGCCATTTTCTGCCGGGACTCACCAGGAACACAATGGAAGGCACATCGCTCATTGAAACCACAAAATGAAGAAACAAATTCAATACACTGTTACACTCCTTGGCTTTGGATGTAGCAGCTGGGGAGCACCTTGTAGCAAAGTCCTGGCAGTGTCTCAGCAAACATCGTCGTATTGTTGGAGACAATTGACATGAGAGGACTGCAAAGGCCCTATCCTGAGTTGCCCTGGTTGCATAGAGGACAGCTGTAGTCTCTGTAGTTGTCAGAATGGTCTCGAATTGGCCTTTGCCTTTGAACTTCGGGTTCTCTTTTCTGGTCCAGCAGCCTGGCACCCAGAAGTCCAAGCTTAGCACTGAGATGGGCAAACCTGAGCCAATCGTCCAAAATGGTCATGAGTCATGAGATGTGATGAGTCATATATCAAAACCATAAAATTAGTGTAGCTCAACCAAGATGCCCGACTCTTCATGTTTGTATAGGTCGTAGTGCTGGTGGACCAGTTCCACCAGATGGATCGGGGCCCTGAGCCTCGGGGCAAAATGAATGTAACAACTGTGAGATGTCTTGTAGGCAAGAATTGTATACATGCATCCAAGTAACATGTTGTAGCAAAGATTTTTCTTGGGCGTGTCAATGCGATGATGTTTGACTTTCACTGTGCGATTGTACATCGCAACAATCTTTGATAGCAAGTCCTTCAATGGAGGTTTGCCAGGGGTCAAACGGCGTTCAACATCAATTGCGCTTCGAACGTCTCCCAGGATTGTAACTGGAGATGGCTGGATCTTCTCTGATGTCACGTACTGGATGCCTCAAAAGAGTCAATAAAGAATGTCAATATCTACCACCTTGGAATCAAATATATATATATATATATAAGGACTAGAAAAGTCAATTGAACATGTCTCAAACCCACTGCAAGTGTCGCAAGGAGTTGAGGTAATGTCCGGCTGCATTCTCAAAGTGCTGGTATGCGCAGCGAATGTACCGGAAGCTCTCAAATGTTTTCAACAACATAGGGCATTGATTGATGGCGTCCTCACTGATTTCAAGCTCATCCACGAAGGCAACGATACTCAGCATCAGCAACAGCTTCGACTGTCCATCGACCAAGCCGACTGTAAAGTCATGCATCACACGGTCGCCAGAAGACTGCTCAAACTTTGTGATAATGGCTTCTGCTGAAACCCGGTATCCACAAAATAGAAACTCCCGGAAGTGAACTGCCATCTGGTTGTTGTTCGGGAAATCTGTTCAGGGACAGCCAAGTCCAGTACAGTTGATGCTCTAAATTTAGATTTGTTACTGCTGCTAACATCACTTAACGCAAGATGTTGTGACATGTTGGATCCCCCCACATCCATTCTTTCCATTCTTCGAGTAGTCAAACGCTGTGAGTGGAAGGTAGAACTCGTCCATACTTGCTGTAGGGACGCATGTCAAGTAGGATCTTGATCCCACGAAGCCGGATGATCTGTCAAGCACCAATCTGTGGATTGCCTGAGCACAACCGCCCACATTGCGAGGCCAACACCATGGACCCCACATACCGCTAAGATCAAGACCTGATTCATTTTGCAACGATCTGCGAAAACAGTGTTGAGGTGCTCCCCAAGGTTCTTCTGGCCAATCACCTGAGAGGATGGTCCAAGACAAGCACCCAAGGAAAACAACACCTCAAATGGGCACAATGAAAACTCATAACTGATAACTTGAAACTAAACAAAGAAAACGCAGCTGAAAGGCAGTCTCAAAGTAAGCAACAATCTCTGCCACCGGCCCTTCGGTCGGTTCTTCTGAAGCCATGACTGCTTTTCTGGGTGGACACACTCGTTTGCAAAAATTGGTTAGTAAATTAAGATGTGCTCATGTTTGCATGCCCACAACTCCTGGGGCCAGAAGAAGCGATTCTGATGCTGCATCATTCCTGAAGTGCATGTGCCTAACAGTGATTCTTTCTGCAAAACTCACCAGCCAGGATGGCATATTTTCCCAGTGAGAACACATGAGCTACCCTCAATACCTGCTTTGCAGGCAGGCAGATGATCGCTACAGGTTCTCAACCTTTCACAGATGTTTTTTCGTTATGTTTTTCCATAACCTGTCTTAGTTTATATATTAAAACATAGTAGCTAATATATATATATATTATTATATATACGTGTTGTGCTTCCCCGGGGGCAGAACCTGAAGTCCGAGCATCTGACTGAACCCCTGGCTAGCGCCTGTGAAAAACTACTTGTAAGACATGTGCTTTTGGCTCTGGTGGGCGTTCACCCAATTGCACTTGACACCATCTGACATTCGCTTTCGGGGCTCTCAAGAACTTCAACTCTTGAAACGGCTTCAAGTTCCGAGGGGTGATCATTGACCTGTAGAAGTCAACTGCACGCCCAAAGTTTGGGAAATCGACAGCAAAGTTCTTGTAGAGTTCCTGTAGCTCGGAGATCCTTTCACTGTCAAGTTCTGCCTGGTAGAACATGGTTGTAGAATTGACGCTGTTCCAAAACTCTTCGCACTGAGAAAGCAGCTTGGCTGGATATACAAGGAGAGGTTTCTGGCTGAGATGTTGGTCAGACATGTTCAATTTGATCATCGCAAAAATATCATGACAATTGTCTTCTTGCCTCAAATGGGCCGGAGTCTTCTGATCTAAATCTAAATCAATTCCTCGCCTTGGAAGATATTGTCTTTGCATAAACGTGAAGCTCTGCGGAACCTTCCTCGTATCATCAGGATTCCGTTTCCCACGGTCGAGGTATGCATTCTTGAGTGTGACACTTCCAGGAAGCATCCCAACCCAATCGCGTACCTAAGTCAAGCGTTTATACTTCATGACAACAAGTCATGGTTGCGGGTGAAAGTACAACATAAATTTTGTTATATACTGCAACAGTTTTGGGCACACAGCAAGCTACAGAATCCACCACTTCGATGTCGAAGGCCATGTCACGCTTCTCAAAGATAGGAGTAAGCTTGGATCGGATGACCCTCATGACATCATTTGGAGTCATCAAGTCTTGAGCTTCTTTGAGGGCAGCAGTCACCAAACTCAGCACCCCATCCACATCCTCATGGGTGTGGCCAACTCTTAAGTGGTTGTGGGAGCCGCACGAAAAGTAGTTGGATTGGGTGAGGAGGCATAAGATTTGTGCAGTATACTGCGATCTCAGTTCTTTTGGAGCATTGTCGGCCTGAAGCCACAACCTTGCAACTGCAGCAACAATAAGAGTTGAGTAAGCAATGACAACCCCAAAGCAGAGTGGTTGCTCTTGAATTATGGCATCCGAGTTGCTCATATGGCATGGGTCGAGCTTTCGATCTGCAGATCTGGAAAGTGTGGTCCAGTGAGCGCATGATCTGAGTGGTTCAGTGGGGAATCTAAATCTGAACGACAAGACTCAATATTTTGTGACTGAAACAATTCATCTCGTAATTTGATGCAAGGTTCACATTCCCATGTCCAATTTGTCCCCAGAGGCATTCCTTCCCAGGCTAAGAACATCTTGCAAAGATGCCCGTGGCATATGACACAAGTTAGTGTCAGATGAGTGCCTTGTAGTTCAACCAAAGCCGATGGGACATGACATGACATGAGAATCCCATCTCATGCTTCAATTTAATATTATTCAATTGCAACCAAGGCACGGCGAACAACTTCATAAAGGCTCTTCTTTGGCAATCTATTAGCAGGCCAGCGTGGCAGCATGATTTTAGCTTTGTCGTAGGAGTCCACCACCAAACAAAGCTGGTCCTGGTGCGTCTGGGATCTTTCCCTGCTCTTCCAATAAATTTCTCGGTCTCTCCACATCAAAGTGTAGTGGGAAAGAAGTTCATCGGCTATCTTGGCATGGGCAGCGAAGTCTGAACAAGCTCGGAGTCTTGCCTTCAGTTTGCTGCACGTCAGGCAAATGGCGTGACTGGTCTTTTTGTGGAATCTGAGGCATGTTTTAAGCCAGTGCTTGGCAACTTGGTAGAAAGTGGCTCTGCTCGCAACTTCAACTGTACCTTTTGCCGTTCTGGTGTATGCCAAGTAAAGCAGATATAAATTGGAGATGTTGCCGTGAGGCAACTCCCGTCGAGGCAAGCAAGTTGGGTCCGATTCATGCACTTGACGAGTCGGTCCCATCAACATTTGGTCCACCAGCTTCTCCAACAATGCACTCCGAAGTTCTGTGTCGCTAGATTCCAGAACAGACTTTCCAGAACTCCTCAGACAGGAGCTGATTCTTGAACCTATATAACTCCTGGCAAAACCCATCCTCTCACAACAACAAGTTACCAGACAAGGTTCGTCACAGTCATGGACTCACCAGCACTCCAATACAGGTGTACAAAGAAGGTGTTCACAGAAGTGGACTTTACTGCTGAGGCTGCACCTCCTAGGTATGAGCAAAACAGTTATCATGTGCATTTCCAGATGCACTGCGGTAAAGTCAAGATCAGCCAAGACTCCATGGTTAAACTTTCGCTCATCAAGGCCCCTTGGTCGCTTCCGTGTCCTGGATACACGGCCCCGGCCGATACCAAGGAACTTCATCCATGCCACCCTGCATAGTTCATAGCCTCATTGGACACTCCAAACTTGAATGTTGTTCTTACATTTGTTATGTTGGTGTTTGAGCAAAGAACACTGACTCACTGTCCAAGAAACCCTCAATTCGCCATTTCACTCTCCTTTTGCGGGCCAGCTCTGTTTGCAGTGTCCATAGCAAACTGTCCTGAATGCCCTTGCTCAAGCTCCAGAAAGAGCAACAAATCTGGACAAGGAGTCTGAAAGGCATACTACAGCCACAGCTGCAGCCAGGATGTTTGAGGGCGTGTTTGATCCTTTTCTGAGACATGCCATTTTGTGCATAGGTGGAATGCACAGTCTCATGGTCAGCAATATTGTCCCCGTGCAAAGCCTCTAGCCTACGCAGGTTGAAAACCATCTCACATGGACCACCACCACCATCTCCATCACTTTCATCAGATTCATCTAGCAGTGATGCATCGCTGCTCCATTCCCCCCTTAGATTCTTGTTAAATCAACAAAGTTAAGCAATGTTTTCGATGAGCGAAACAGACTTTTGTGGTCGAGTGGCTGAGAGCTGCCTTCAGATTCTTCACCCTCGCTTTCAGTTTCATCATACCGCCAGGCACCGCCAGAGGATGGACGAGCGATGGGTGCAACTTTTTCATCATCATCGTCGTTCCAACGATGAAGGACAGGCATGGTGCGAAAAAGACAGAATGAGCCAGTAGTAGAAAAATGATTTTGATTCCCGTAGTTGGCTGTTTGATTGTCCAAAAACACCAAATCTGAACAAGTGCAAATAACGGAAAAAGAAGTGCTATCATAGGCGACCCCTGTCAGCCTCTTGAACAGAATGAAGCACTGTGAACGTAACGCGCGCAAGCTTGTGGCATGGCGTGCTTGACTTGCACATGATATGACAAGCCTTATTGAATGCATTTTCCCTCTGCTGAAAGCCGGCCCGTTTAGCAACAGGCTATTGCTTGCAATTGCATTATTAGGGCATAGGCAACAACTACATGACTCAAACAACAAAACTGATCCCTGTGACATTCCTTAGTGGTTTTGGCTACTTGAAAGAGTGTTGAAGCCTAGGCCTGATCACTGAGATAGACCCGCAACATATCCATGTCCAAGGCGTTCAGAAGAATGCATTGTGCAACGAGAACTGCTTGCATTGCCATCCCGTTCCCAGCCAAGCAGTGTAGTTCCTCGGATCTCAGCTCACAGGTATTTTACTGTAGCAGTATATTTTAGTAAGACAAGTTGAAGGGAACTTGAAGCAAAGTGCTCAGTTTGTTCAGGCAAGCCTCGCGATCACTGAAGCCAGCCAAGCTAAGAGTATCGATTGGAAGGCCCATCAAAATCAATGCTTCCAATCCTCCGGCCAGCTGCAGGAAATCGCTGATGACAACATCCTGACCGTGCCTGTGAGAAATCTTTGCTTCTTGGCGAGGAAGAATCTTCCTTGCGGCCTTGATGGGTTGGTTGGTGAGTAACATGCACAGACTCTTGTTACATCAGGGAAAGGCAGTAGAACTCTGAGCCAATCACGTAATGCAAGGGAACGAGTGATTGTCCATGATGATGTGCATGCGCGGCAATGTTTGTGAGG